GCTGTCACACAAAACACAAGACAATCTGACACAGCACGGAGAAACAGTCCAAATGACCTGCCGTAGCTATGCAAATGAGTTCACAATTAGGGGCGATGGGGTAGCCTAATGGTTAAAGCGTCCTGGGTTCGATTCCCCACATGGGTACAATGCATGAAGCCCATTTCTGGTGTTCCCTGCCATGACATTGCTGGAATATTGCGAACAGCGGAGTAAACCCGAACTCGATAACTCAGTTAGTTGTGTGCGTGTGTGACCACCTTGTACAATGTTGCTGGCCTGACACCGCCTCATTGAGGCCAGTAATGGTTCAAGGAAGATAATAAGGAACATCTTGAGAATGACACTCTTTATCTGAGGGAGGAGGATAAGCCGGAATTCTGCAATACTGTTGGCAGGATTTTGAAAGCGGTTCATTCGATGTCATCCAAGATATGTTCGCAATGCAGGGGAACAGCACAACATTGTCCTGAATCAACATGTAGCCTGACGTGATACACTTTCCTTCTTGGGCAGCAGTCCTATTGGAAAACAACCGTTTTCAAAGCCCTGACCTTCAGCATAACGACATATTTTGTGCAGTCGAATTTCCATGATGAAAGCGTGGAAGGTTACAGCCCTAAGTTTCAATGTAATCGAACTCGGTTCAAAACTAAGCTCGAGTAGCAAATGGACACAGGGTATTTATACAGAAATTCAAGACACTATTAATCATGATATATAAATAAAACAATTTCAACAAGACATTCTGAAATACATATATTTGGTTATACAGGGAGTTAAACAGTTCACTACAGAAACATCTATTAACATCGTGGTGATATTCACTTACAAACAATATTGGATCGGATGATATCATGTTTATATCCTAGACCTGTTCACTAGTATGTGTGTATGCTTAATTCAAAAATTATAAACATATGCTCGTTTTGTGAAATTACTTTCTATGTAGGCTAGTGTTGGGAATTGGTTAAAATCTCATAATTGATGATTGGTTCGTTACTACCGATCAATCATCGAAAATAATTGGTTAGCGTCATTTATGAAATTTGTTAATGCACAAAAAAATAAGGATAAAACCGTAGTTAGCGTTTTGTCACACCGAAGGGCTTTGGCAAAAATTTCACGTGATATCTTATTGCTAAAAGCGGATGACTAGTATGTTATGGAACATAAATTTCTTGGTGTCTTTAGGATAAATTCAATCATGACTTGGAACGAGCTTATCGTGCTTATGAAATGTAACAGACAAAACCAACCGTGTGAAAATATTGTTGATGAAAACAAGTGTTCCAGAATTGTTTGTGTTTGATTATGAGAAAACATGATCGATTGCTTGGTCGTTTAGTCACTGCGACCAATCTTCGATTATTTCAATTAATCGGATCACCACTAATGTAGGTATAGGTGCACACACCCCAGAGTCACGTCTAAAATATGAAACGTATGCTTCATGATTTTCATCGGAGATTATTTATGATGGAAGTAAGAAAACAAAGGTATAACATCTATCATTAATGAAGTTTCGCCATCGAGACATTAGTGTTATATGTTGCAAATTAGATATTTCACCGATTCTCAGAGAGAATGCCCAATCATCTATTTCTTATGTCGTTTTGATTTGTATTTGTTTAACAGACGACTGTACACTAATAAAAGCCAAATACGCATCCAGTACTACCAAGTAAACATGGTATAATTCGTAGAAATCAACTGGAAATCACTATTTTGTTTGTAACAATCAAAACATGTGTCACAATTTATTCATTCTTGGTGTCGCCAAAGCTGTAGTGTTTCAACAAATGGATACAATCAGTATGTTTACCATAAAGGCGTTTAAATTCACTGCCCATAGGTTGTACGTACATGAATGTAAAACCTATGAAATAATGAAGGGATTATCATAAGAAACAAAACAAATGTGACACTATGAAATATGTCGCCACAATAGCGGTAATCTACCTTACAGAATGTAAAATGCGATGTAAAATGCATATATATACATTGTATATTGACAAACATTTCTTTTGAAAGCTCGCAAGGTTTTACTGTATATATTATATGTACAAAAAGTGTCATCTTGGAACACATCATACCATATATAACTTAAATAAATTAACCGTACACACAGGCGAACCTGGTCAAACAGGAGTTGTGTTAAGCATGAAAGCTACGTTACCATTACTATACGGAAACATGAATAACAGCTACCTATGAAAGTGATTAGAATGAATGGTTTGTGTTTTCATAGTTTAAAAAAAACGAAAAGGGAGTGCAGTATGCTTCCAGTCAAGTTAATGGTAGTTTGCAAACGGTGAAAGTAATCTACGTTATGAAATCTACGCTACCACCTGATATGGAATCTTACAAAATCTTACTGGAAATAGAAGATTTCGGTCCGTAGCATAGTCAGAGAACCCAGGCAAATAATTTGATAATCTACAACAGTTACCACCGGTTGCTGTCACATGATCGCAGCACTTCAGTGATATTTAACGAAATTCAAATTTGAAAGGGAAACTTCATCTTTATTCGGGGAATTACCTATGAAACAGGAAGGAATGTTTGTTAATTACTTCATTATAGGGATATAGTTTCACAATATTTCAAAAACAGTTGTTCTGCTGTTGAGAATTTCTTCGGTAGAAACATTTGGAAATGATCACTATATTTGGGCGTCGTTAGCCATCATTTCAAATGACTGACAGAAGTTGTATTTCGTGAAACTTGTATCAATTCTGTTAGCACCACATATATATTTTTAGACATATTGATATTTACCCTAAACGTATGATATTTCGATCTCTTAAGAAAACTGCAACATATCTTTCCCCCTCAATTTTGTACTCACTCATCAAAGTATGGTAACGTAGATTGCAATGAATGAAGTAATACCTTCATAACTATCACATGTTCCGGTAGCTGTTATGAATATTTTATTTATCATCAAGTAGCAATAATGACTTTCGTATATGGTAAGTTGTTGTAAAATCAGTCTATATGAGGACGATTATTACGTCCAATGAATTAGTTTGTAAGGTAACGTAGATTACAGTTTTGTAACGTAGATTACAAACCATGATTGTTGAATGCTGACAGACTGGGCAAGACTCGTGCCGAGATCCAGCGGGATTACGGACAAGGGAATAGGGAGAAAGGGGGAATGAATGTTATTCATGTGAACACGTGTTTTTGGTGCAAGTCTGAAATCTACGTTACAAAGGCATGCATTGGCAACCAGATCAATAATATTACTTGTTATAAATGCTGTTGTATTGTCAGTGAAGTTCATGATATTACCTCTCAGATGTCGATTCTTTTTGTCACCTTCTTTGGCGTAAAGAACTGTACTTAACAGTATAACATAAAGTGAAATTTTCAAGAGCTTTGACATGATCAAGTCTATTGTTATAATGCTAACAAACTCAATTGAGTGGAGAGGATGTTACCTGTACAATGTTGTTTCCTTAACGAAACACAACTGTGGGATTAACGACTGAACTTTGTGAATGATATCTCCCTTCAATGTGTTATGCAGCCATCATAAAGAACAGTCACGTAGATTATAACGACCGTGTAGGGTGGTGTTCCATGAGATGTGATGGAAGTTTTACAAGCTCCCTTTGAGTGCAACATTTTCTGATTTTCGTTCTTGACACTTTCTTCAATAGAACAGCAACAACAAGTGACAGAATTATTGTCTTTAATTTTTTACGATTTGTCTTTCAAATTCGAGTCAACTCTTGACGTCAGGTCACGTGACGTCAACACTGCTCTTTAACTCCTGCCGTTTCCGGAACACAGTTAGTTTTTGGATATAAATGTTGACTTCAGAAAATAAAATTCGTCTTCAAGCTGTTTTATTTTACATGCTTTTTAAATGATTGGAATTCAGATTTTTACTGTATATATCCTTTATGCAACGAATTTATCGCTACCTATTGTGACGCATGTTTGGAGCCATCTTGGAAACCAAGAGGTTTTATGTGTTCTGCGCTATTCCCTTCGGACTATTCGTGACTATAGATGTAGAGAGACTCTTCTTGTCTCGAAATCGATTGTCCCTCATATGTGATGGAAAATCACATGCCTGCACAAAAATACACGATACAGAGAGGCGTAACGTTGCACGCACACTACGTTTGATGTTTAACTTCTTTGCCTAATATACAGATGTAAATATTTGATGTTGCTTAATCTCAAGGAGCAGTTATATATAAGAAATATCTACAAGTTTGCAATGGTATACTATAGCAAAACGCAATATGAAAACGCATGTAGTGTGAGCGGAAAAAACGCAACGCAACGCCTACAAAATCGGACACGTGCATCCTAAACTGCACATTTCTTCTCCTCGGCTAAGCAGTTACTGGATGGAGCAATCATCGCCGATCTTGTTTCCATCTGAAAAACAACAACAACATGATAACCATTACATACAAAGAGAAGAAGAAGGAGAAGAAGACATTTTAAATTATTATCCCATACGCAGACATAGCAAAATGTCTTGAAATACAATATGTCAGTTACTATGCAGCACTGTCCGTCATCTAAGGGGTAAATAGAATTAGGAAAATATCGGCCTCAATTCCTAGTCTGATGTCAGTATTGTTCGGCTAGCGTGGTTTGGCCTGTGCCTCTGTGCATATGAGGCGTACAATGAGGTAAGTTAATTTCTTAAGTATCATACCTATTGCCGGGGATGCAAACAGATCCCAGACCCGCTACAGACACTGAGACAGTCAGGTATGTCACCGTATTCCAGTTACATCACTGCATGTCTGTTTAATGTAGGGGAGAAAACCCGCGGTAATGCTGGTCGTACACGTGGACAAAGTTTGTGAGTGAGTGAGTTTAGTTTTAAGCCGCTGACAGAAATATTCCAGCAATATCACAGTAGGGGGACACTGAAATGACACAAGGGTTTGACATAACATTTTCACCTTGACAGGCCAGCGTGAGATACTGGTGATACAACGATGATGTTGCAGCGTTCCTCTCACCTTCTCCGACTCTTCTGTGGACGTCCCTGCCACAGATGCCACACTGACGTACAGACTTGCAGCAGAGGGGACAGGTGTCCTTGTGGCCACAAGGCAGGTAGACAGCAGAGGCTCTGACGTTCTGACACTTGGAGCACAGCAGCAGCCGTCCACGGGAACTGGTGGGCCGGCCCGACTCCCTGGAGTTGTTAATAATTGTAATGATGAATATAAATAACCACTGCAAAATATAATCTGTGTTCATGCTGGCTATGAAACTCCGTCTAAAATCCAAACTTCGCACAGATTCCTGTTGCACAACATTTAAAACGTCATTGCTGTATGAAGCGTGAGGAAAAGACAAATTCCTGATATTACATACACTTTATATCCCTGCACGACTTGTGATGACGTCAGCTGAAAACACTTGAATCGACAGTTGCAACTCACTTTGACTTTCGGAACGAGGCTACTGCCTCCTTTATTCTGTCACTCCGGCACATATCAGACGGGGTCATGTTGCTATGGTTACGAATATCCGGGTTAGCTCTGTGCTCGATAAGGAAGGTGGCGATTCGCACTCTTGCTTCCTCGTCCATCCGGGGAAGTTGACCCATCAGAATTTGCAGCTGGATGGACATAAAGTATTGTTATGTCGATGTGAATTTCGTTCATAAGTGAATGTGTCCACATTATAATGTTCAATATGGCTCCAAGAGACTGTTAGGTGTTAATTGATGCTGCCCGAAGCTCTACCCAGGGAGGCTACTGGAATAGCCTGGACAGTCTCTTCACATACAACCCATACAAGACAACAGTGTTTTACTGACTCTTGAAATCCTTTTCAAACAGCCGAGGACCAGTCAATATATGAACGTTCCCGCTAAGACACCTATCCCCATTAAAGACACAATCATTCCCACCTACCATCAACCCTCCAGTCTTCCCCATCATTGTGATATGGAGAGGGGGTGTCGCCATCTTTGTCTTGAGCATTTACCTCGGCGCCTGTAAGACAATAAACTTCAAATGATCACACGGCAGTTGACTGAGTCCACCTCTATCGTTGTCGGATAGCGGCCTGGCTGAACCTTCTGTGACATATGCGATATCGACGTGAGGAATGAAAACATCTCTTACAGTAAGTCCCAATAGCAGTGGTTGTTGGTATAACATTGAACTAGGGAGTGGTCTACCATAATACTTTGTGCATTGGTTCGAATCTCAGGTTTACTCCGATTAAGATTCATTGTTTGCAAGAACCGAACTTGTGTTCGTAACATTCTACAACGTCGTAAAGTTGACAATGTGCGTAGCTGTTGGCTTTTCTCTGATGTACGCTGACATGCCATGATTTAACTGTAGTACTGTTCATGGTGACGCCTAACAAGCTCACTCACTCACTCACTTACGTATAGACAGATGTTCCTTACCATTGTCCACAAGTGTCTTGACAGGGTCGAAGTAGGCATTCTCACAAGCCAGATGTAGCGCTGATTTTTGTAACGCGTTTTTTGCTCTCAGGTCAGCCTTGTACTGAGGACAAGAGGGGCACAGCTGCTTTATCAAGGTTACAACGTCCAAGGTCAAGGTTAAACTTCAGTTTCAAAAAGTTATTTGCAGGAACGTCTCCAAATGTGATGTACTTGTTTTTTCTGGGTGGATAGTGGGCATTTGCTGTGACGGGATATCCTAGTGTGGTCACTATTTAATAGTGCTTCAGAAACAGATGCTAATGATTCAGTCGTAAAAGTACAATGTGCTATCCTGCAGTGATATAGGGTATAACTGTACTGTGTTTAACGAGGTGAGGTGAGGTGAGGTGAGGTGAGGTGAAATTGGGTTTAACGTCGTGGTTGAGAATATTTCGCTCATATGACGACGTGCATGCATGTGTATGTGTATGTGCGGCTGCTTGTTCTAGCCCAAACTTAAGCTTGTTTTATAGTGCTAGCCCACTGAGATACCATGCCGCAGTGAAGCATGAATACCCCACTCACACATTAAACTGACTCCGAGCCGACCAGTCCTTGTTGTACCCATTAATGCCGAGCGCCAGGCAGGGACCAACAAGTACCATATTTTAACGTCTTTTGGTATGACGCGGTCGGGGATCGAACCCGCGACCTTCCGCTCTCCGGGCGGACGCTCTCACCACTACACCACGGGGGGGGGGTCTGTTTAACGAAAGGGGACGTATACCGGTGGTTGTACAGCAGCAGAGACACGACCCATCGCCGGTATAACCACCGGTAGACGTCCCCTTTCGTCAAACACAGTACAGTTATACCCTAATTATGGGAATGGTTTTGTGACGTATATGTACAACCTACCATCCGTTCAGATGCTGAGTGTTCATCAAGATAGACATCATATACGCTATTCGAAATGTTTCAATACTAAATAGATTGAATGCAATGTAATTCAATGTTTCTAAAAACGAATCTAGAAAGCCATATTTGTAAAGATCTTAATTATATATATTGGAAGTAGATTAGTACAGCAGTATTATGTGATATTGACATACATTGGTCTATACAATCCATATCTGTTACATATATAGAGAATACTACATGAGGTCTCATTACATACGAATAATACGAAACGAGTGTCCTTCCTATGGTATCTGACCGAGCTGAACGAGTGTCCTTCCTATCGTATCTGACCGAGCGAAAGCGAGGTCAGATACCATAGGAAGGTCACGAGTTTCGTATTATTCGTATGTAATGAGACCGAGTGTGGTATTTTATTTATTACCCACGTCTTACATGCATTAAATTGACAAAATAGCGTATTTTTTGTTATTTTTATGGTTTCAAACCGAAACCGGTTTCATAAAGAGGTTGTGGGAAAGTTCGTACTGCAGTACAATATTTGCATGACGTCACACTGTAATGACGTCACTGCCTTGGTAACCGACGTCACGATGCATGTCAGTTGTCATCGCCTCGTACAGCCTCCTACAGTAACCTACTCCGCAGCACCGCGTTTCTTGGTTTGCAGTTGCTTCATTTGGCTAACATCACTGGTGGAAACATTGCGTTTATACTTTTCGACGGATATGTCTCAGTTCGACTCATAATAAAACAGCGACACGGCAACGTTCGCAATGTTTACATTCCCACAATGCATTTAAGTTGTAGAATGAATGAATTCACGTGTTTGTTAAGAATGAAAAAATAGTTAAGTCAGAATGTGACCTATTTGAGAGGTCATCGGTTATCCAATCAAATCGTTAGAATCTCAGGTCAAGTCGTTACGACACAGGTCAACGCAATACGACACTCGTGTGACGTACGAGATTAAAGTACTGTCGGAAATGCTAGAAAAATGTTTTTTGACTTATATTTAAAATTCAGAGGTATTACAGTTACTTAAATAACAAATATCACTTCAAGAAACATCTACCTAATGTAGACCGAGGGAATAAATTTTGAGACATGCTCTGAAATGTGTTTTTACTGATGAAAATACCAAACACTTTGAAAAATAAGGGTAGTGGGACCTTATTTGATACAAACATTAAGTGCCTGTGTTACGTCATCAGCATGCACGGTATCGACAGGTGAAATTGACACCTGAGCACACGCTCGGGGGAGGGGTCATCTCAATAGATATTTTCTTCAAAATGTTGAATATGTGTACGTATAGTATACGTATTGGTTATGTAAGGGATCATTTGTGTATGTGTGTTTGTTTTGAAATAAACATACGAGTTACTGTACATTGGAAAGAATCCTATCACTTGTGTTATCTTATCGATTGATTGTAGAAATGTGCAACGTTTTAATAAATGTTTTGCATGTCAAAAGTATATTTCATTGAAAAAATATGGATGTAATTCGGTCAGTTTAATCTAGTTGAGAACATTGGCCAAAGATTTAACGAAGTCACTGGTGTAGCTTCTTTAGAATATATATATTTTTCTTCTCATAAAGTTTGTAGACCGCCCGTCTAAGCACTCCCTTGTCAAAGTTGTCAAGGATGGTTTCACGTCCCAGTTTTGCATTTGAGACGGTCCCTGTCTTGTCTGATTTGTTTACAATATTGTAAACTTGTTGGTAAGACATGCCAACAGCTCTATAAGATCTGTAATAAACCCTTTCCCAACTAATGAAAGGTTTACCTCTGTCTTTTTTTAAGCAGAAAAAACTTATAAACCTTTGCAACAATCGACTGCAAATAGTTGGCCACAGTGGACGCTGTGATAAAGATGTGCATGCATGACGGGAAACTTATTTATCAAGAGTTAACATTTATATTAATATTTCTTCAATAAAGAAACGATAATTAAGTAGAGTAACACAAACATTCAACATTTATTTGTTTAGGAAAAACGTTAATTCATATTTTTACACCACCTATATGATTAGCATAAATGTAAAGACTATTTCAGACTTCTGTTGTTGAACTCTGAAAAAATCTTAAGTTGCTGTTTTGGTACCAAATTCTCTCCTGTAAACTGCCCTTTAAATACATGGGAAGGTTAAATCGATTGAAATAAAAATTAGGTAGACAATAGGCGAGTTGATATATTGACAACATAGTTCATTTATCACCTTTATAAAGATATTAAGGCTAAAAAGCATTTTTCTAGCATTTCCGACAGTACTTTAGTAAGGCATCTTTCTGAAGAAAGGGCATCATCCACAAACGTATTGTAAGCTGGTTTATGTTTCAGAGTATGTGACAATTCTAGGTCAACTTAGTCAACTTGTCGAAAATTCAGGTCATAAAAGATTTTGATGCAATTCCTCGGCCTGCTCAAAAACATTTGGCGCTAAAGTATTAAATTGGCAGGCAAACAGTTTCGGACACTTTGAAAAAGCGTCAAGTGTATGAAACTTAATTCGAAAATTCGTGACTATCAATATGTTCTTCAGTCGTATTTTACGGCACACGCAAGATCATTCTCAGGTTGAAAAGGAAAAAGTTATCTAAACGATCCCAACGAATGCCGGTTTAGAGGTACTGTACTTTAAACAGGGGCGACAACTCTATTCCTGTTTCATTCCAGTGGTACTTAATATCACCGAAGCACCCATACACTTTATTGCTGTTTTTGTTTTTGCTTATTTATTTTAAAGAATTAAACCTCTTTGATATGATTAGAAGAAGGAGAAATACATATTTGTTAAAGACATATTCTGACCCGAAAGCAGATACTCAAAAGTGCCTTTAAAATATTTCTCAAACTGAACTTTCGTGCAACCTTGCTGATATACCCCTTGTGGAATGTTAAATGAATTCGCTTGACCAAACAAATGTCACATAAAAATATCCCCAGAATTGTGAAATATAATCCCAATGTTAAAGATTAAAGTTGATTAGTTACACACAGATATAAAATTATTGTTTTGAAACTTGTAGCGATTAATAATTACATTTCCTAAAATTGTTGGAAGCACACGTATAAACTCCAAACCAGGGCCCGCAAGATCGTCAGAAATACGCTCAGTTCGAGCCATGAAAGCCGTTATGTCAAAAACCCATGTGCGTGTATTTGAATCTCTCACCGTCCATGGCACAATCCTTACTACAATCTACACGAGGCAGCATAGTTCCGTAAGCTATGTTCTTTATACGTTCAATATGACGATATATATTTGTCATGATTTCTTAACAAACACATAATGTCATAATCGGTTCAAGTACTCGGGATTATTTTTATCAAAGCACCGCACTCATTACGTGCGTTCTGATTGGTTTGTCGTATTTTCGCACATAACAAGCATCAAGAGGGGAACGAGTCTTCTTGGAGGTTACGGAAAGGGGCGAGTGGTGACGAATGATTTGATTTCCGTGTCTCGGAAAAGGATGTGGATGGGCACTTCCGAATGCCAAGTTAGAAAATGCCCTGATGAAATCGGAAATTGCTCAGATTATAAGTGACGGCATCTCTACTCAGACTGTCGAACAATCGAGGGAGCAGTTATTGTCCTGTGGCGGTTTGCTTTCGCGTAGATTAAAATTTCCGAATATATTTGTTATGAAGAGAAATCGAATCGTCTTAGATAGTTTGCATTACACTGACCCAAAACCCCAAGCGTCACTTATTTGGAATGGACGGTGAGAGTTTGCCCAGGGTTACTGTGACCTTGGATGGGAGTGTTTGGACAGAGAAGCTTTGTTTGTGTGTTGTTTTACGCCGCACTCAGCACTATCCCAGCTATATGGCGGCGGTCTGTAAATAATCGAGTCTGGACCAGACAATCAAGTGATCAACATCATGAGCATCGATCTACGCATTTAGGAACCGGTGACATGTGTCAACCAAGTCAGCAAGCCTGACCACCAGATCCTGTCAGTCGCCTCTTACGGCAAGCATGGGTTACTGAAGGCAAATTCTAACCAAGATCTTCACGGGTCAACATAAGTAACTAAGAGATGATAATAACGAGGTCTGATACTGACTGTGCATTCGATGTTACTTACCTTGATAAGAACACTGATGACATCAGCATGGCCATTGTAGGCGGCCAGATGGAGGGCCGTCCAACCATCTTCTTTTGCAGCGTTTATAACCTGTCTGTTCTTCAGAATAATCTTCTCTACGATACTGAAATACGAATGACGAAATATTTCAGTGTACCTTCTGGTTTACCTGGTAAAGTTATCATGCAAATCTGTTGTTAATTGTTTAATCGTGTTGTCAACAAATCTGCCAACACTTCCCTCACCTTGTATGGAGGGCTGAAAGGGACATAAGACATTTTGTCATGTGGACACTCACTGAAGCGGGCTATTTGCCGTGCACCTCACTCATACATCCGGTGGTCTGTTGTGATCAATAAGTTCCCGGATGCTACTGGGGAGTACTAAAGCAGCATTGTGTTTATTCGTGTGAAATTAAAATGATACTGATTTTGAAAAGTGTGTTCTTTTAATATATAATGAATATTACACAATAGTGTAAAAACTATCACATTATCTCATATAGTCAGCTTACTGTTGCAATTTTAATGACATCATATTTAGGAATAACTGTCTTCTGTATAATATGGGAAACAAAACACCTTCATCACCTGCCTCTGTACAATATGGGCAACAAAACACCTTCATTACCTGCCTCTGTACAATATGGGCAACAAAACACCTTCATTACCAAGGATTTACTCTTGTCGACGTTCTCGGGGCTTCCTAGGTTAAACCTATTGTTGTAATACATAATTAAGCCACAGTATCACATTGGGAGTGTTATTTGTTAGCGTGATGATATCTGGTGATATGCGATTTGTTTGATTTTTAAACATTTATTACTATCTGTGATTGCTTGGTAAATGTTGTTTTTAAAGTGAAATATGGTCTAACATCTAACACTGTTTTGACGTGATTAACGTATTATGCTAAAGAAGATAAATAGAATGAAACAATTAAATAAAAGTGCGTACTAAATTAACATGCACAAGCAATAACAATATTCTAACCACTTTGGTTTCACATCTATGAACGTAAGACAAATAGAAAATCGAAATAATCGATACAATTGTTCATATATTCAGCCATTGAAATATGCAGCATGCATAACACAGTGATTTCATTGTTTCTGTCTCCAGTGGGAGTCAATCTGAATGTAAGGGTGTAGTTACAGTGGAGGGACATTGGTACATCGAGGTTACAGTTGAGATGGATACCTTCCCTTCTGCCCCATCGCTGCCATGTGGATCGGCATGAATCCTTTGGCGTTTGTAATTCTGACGTCCACTCTTGGCGACGACAATATGGCGGCCACCGCCTCCAGACTGCCTTTCTCCACCGCGTCATGGAGTGCTGTGTCTCCGCTCACATCCTGTAATATATCAACATAAACAGCCGTGGTCAGTAGAGTAAACCAGCAACAACTGATACACACGAGACAGGTGGTACAGTAGTCTCGCGTTCACTCGTTATGGGTTCGATGCCCGGATGGGACAAGGATGTGTTGTGCCAGATGGACGCTTCGTGCTGTCATCTCCATTGTCGACCGACATGAAGACATCAGCTGTTCTGTGATACACACAAATACATAGTATACAGAAGTACTATAATCAGTATACACAAGTGTTATAACCAGTATAGACACGTGTTATAACCGGAATACACAAGTGATATAACCAGTATACACAAGTGCAATAACCAGTATACACAAGTGCTATAACCATACACAAGTGCTATAACCAGTATACACAAGTGCTATAACCAGTCTACACAAGTGCTATAACCAGTATACACAAGTGCAATAACCAGTATACGCAAGTGCTATAACCAGTATACACAAGTGTTATAAGCAGTATACACAAGTGTTATAAGCAGTATACACAAGTGCTATAATCAGTATACAAAAGTGCTATAACCAGTATACACATGTGCTATAACCAGTATACCCATGTGCTATAACCAGTATACATTAGTGCTATAACCAGTATACACAAGTGCTGTAACCAGTATACACAAGTGCTATAACCAGTATACACAAGTGCTATAATCAGTATACACAAGTGCTATAACCAGTATACACAAGTGCCATAACCAGTATACACAAGTGCTATAACCAGTATACACAAGTGCTATAACCAGTATACACAAGTGCTATAACCAGTATACACAAGTGCTATAATCAGTATGCACAAGTACTATAACCAGTACACACAAGTGCTATAAACAGTATACACAAGTGCTATAACCAGTATACACAAGTACTATAACCAGTACACACAAGTGCTATAAACAGTATACACAAGTGCCATAACCAGTATACACATGTGCTATAGCCAGTATACACAAGTGCTATAACCAGTATACACAAGTGCTATAACCAGTATACACAAGTGCAATAACCAGTATACACAAGTGCTATAACCAGTTTACACAACTTCATGTTACAAAGCAAAGTGCTACAGAACAAAATTGCAACCGACCCGAGTGGATGTGCAATGTTACAAAGAAATTGTTACTTCCTACAATCTACGTTTACAAGCTACAACCACATGCTACATTAATTTCAATAATCCATAACAGTACCTTCCACTAGTCTACATGTATAATATACATTTCTATACAAGTAACATGCACCAGAACACTACAGCTAGATTACACCCATATCTCACAACTGTACCTAGTGTGTCCATGCCACCCTACCAGCTACAGGATTGCACACTTCATTCTGCAGGCCATAACCTTCATGTATTTTCTTCATGTATATAAGTGCCTACTCCAGTGCTACATTGCAGACTTCAGACTGCTTCAGGCTAATACGCTACATGGGTAGACAAACACCTTGGCATTGACGTCACAGTTTTTGGTTATGAGCAGTTTGATGATCCTTGGTTGTCCGCTGTAGGCAGCCATGTGGAGAGGAGATCGGCCTTTAGTGTTGGAGGTGTTCACGTCGACTCCTGCGTTGATGAGGAACACAGCGACAGCTTCGTGTGATCTGGAGACAGCACAAAACAATGGAAATCACGAGACTACCCACAATCAACTCTAGATATATACATTCGCTGTTGGCAGTAGTGCAAAATATTCAACATAGATTGTCGTGTTTTACTTAGAATAATAGTTAGTGAGTATGTGTTTTCAAAGTAGAAACATCCTGTTTTTTTCTGAATTTTACACTGTTTTGCACAAAATTATTACTGTTTCAGAATTTGGGTGTTTGGATCCGGTGAGTAAACTCTTATTATCCAGTTGAACTGCAACCTTGACTCACGATGTAACCATTTTCTCAATGCATCCAGAGTGAGCTTATGCTTTATTTGAATACACAATCAACAGTTTCCAGTAGCTAGACAATATTTTGTTGACGTGTCCCGGTTTATGCTGGTAAAATATGATGAATAATTCTGTATTGAAACTGTTGCAATTTCGTACTTTAACACATAAATAATATCGAAATATGTCGTTTTCATAACTTGTGACGAAATACATTATTTCCAAATAAAAATATTTGGTGCACTACACGATATATGGTCAGGGAACCCTCCCTTACTGTAGGGAGATACACAAGTGTCAGATACGGAACAGCTAGACTCAAGGCTGTGATATAACCTACTTGCCAATAACCAACACCAGGGCTGTGATATAACCTACTTGTCAATAGCCAACACTAGCGCTGTGATATAACCTACTTGCCAATAGCCAACACTAGGGCTGTGATATAACCTACTTGCCAATAACCAACACCAGGGCTGTGATATAACCTACTTGTCAATAACCAACACCAGGGCTGTGATATAACCTACTTGCCAATAACCAAAACTAGGGCTGTGATATAACCTACTTGCCAATAGCCAACACTAGGGCTGTGATATAACCTACTTGCCAATAACCAACACTAGGGCTGTGATATAACCTACTTGCCAATAACCAACACCAGGGCTGTGATATAACCTACTTGCCAATAACCAACACCAGGGCTGTGATAGAACCTACTTGTCAATAGCCAACACTAGGGCTGTGATATAACCTACTTGCCAATAGCCAAAACTAGGGCTGTGATATAACCTACTTGCCAATTATCAACTCTAGGGCTGTGATATAACCTACTTGTCAATAGCCAACACTAGGGCTGTGATATAACCTACTTGCCAATAATCAACTCTAGGGCTGTGATATAACCTACTTGTCAATAACCAACGCTAGGGCTGTGAAATAACCTACTTGTCAATAACCAACACTAGGGCTGTGATATAGCCTACTTGCCAATAATCAACTCTAGGGCTGTGATATAACCTACTTGTCCATAGCCAACACTAGGGCTGTGATATAACCTACTTGCCAATAATCAACTCTAGGGCTGTGATATAACCTACTTGCCAATAACCAACACCAGGGCTGTGATATAACCTACTTGCCAATAACCAAAACTAGGGCTGTGATATAACCTACTTGCCAACAGCCAACACTAGGGCTGTGATATAACCTACTTGCCAATAATCAACTCTAGGGCTGTGATATAACCTACTTGTCAATAGCCAACACTAGGGCTGTGATATAACCTACTTGCCAATAATCAACTCTAGGGCTGTGATATAACCTACTTGTCAATAGCCAACACTAGGGCTGTGATATAACCTACTTGCTAAAAGCCAACACTAGGGCTTTGATATAACCTACTTGCCAATAGCCAACACTAGGGTTGTGATATAACCAACCTGCCAACAGCTAATGCCAGGGCTGTGTCCCCATCTTTGTCCCTGGTGTTTTTCTGAGCACCGTGTTGGATGAGGAACCTGGCGAAGTCCAGTTTGTTCTCATGGGCCGCCGTGTGTAGAGGGGTGACGCCCATGTAGGTGCTGTTCACCTGGGCGGGGGATAATGAAGAATCAGTAGACAGTATTAAAGTTACGACCAGCAGGCATTGTGTGCTGATGACTCGACTTGAGGTTACACATGTATGTGGATGTCCACCACTCTGTTCATTTAGCCAGAGGTATCAAATCACTACAATCACACCTGATTGAAACAACTGATTTAAGGCGGCATCAGAGCGAATGCTGCTATGTTTATCGTCAATACAGTACCTCTTTGTCGATCATTGGCCGTGTGATTAGGAATAATAATATACACGGCTACAATGATATATACAGTTGCACTGCGATAATATATACAGTTACAATGGTATATACAGTTGCACTGCGATGATATATACAGCTACAATGGTATATACAGTTGCACTGCGATGATATATACAGCTACAATGGTATATACAGTTGCACTGCGATGATATATACAGTTACAATGGTATATACAGTTGCACTGCGATGATATATACAGCTACAATGGTATATACAGTTGCACTGCGATGATGTATACAGTTACAATGGTATATACAGTTGCACTGTGATGATATATACAGTAACAATGGTATATACAGTTGCACTGCGATGATATATACAGCTACAATGGTATATACAGTTGCACTGCGATGATATATACAGTTACAATGGTATATACAGTTGCACTGCGATGATATATACAGTTACAATGGTATATACAGTTGCACTGTGATGATATATATAGTTACAATGGTATACATAGTTATTTCCTGTTGTCGATTACACTATATTCCTACCAGATCGGAGTCCCTCTGGATGAGATTCCTCGCAGCACTTATATCGTCTTCCAATATGGCCTTGAAGAACACGGCTGTCCCTGCATCCTGCTGTTGGACATCTTGTAGAGCTTCTAGCAGCGCCAGGCCAGCGATAAAGTTTCCGAATCCTCCTCCAAGTTCTACAAAACAACAGTTGTTTACACCAGAGCGTCTAACAGAGCATGACAACCTCTATAAACTGCATTTCAAAAACAAACAAACTTAATTCATAAAAAACCAAAACCAAATAAATATATACTCTCCCAAAAAAGAAACGCATCACGAAAATAGCAGTTTCATGTAGCAGTGAATTAAAACGTGATTCATTTTACGAAAGGTTTTGCTCTGTTTATGAGTGCTATGGTGTTTATGTTTTGAAACATCACAACAAAACGCACCATCCGTAAAATACCCGTATTTAACAGCATGATTTTCAATTTCGGCGTGCAGTGTCACAGAATACACAATTCACATGCAATGCACGTGAAAGTTGGGGATCAGATAGTCTCAATGATGGGTATAAAAAGGTGATCGCTGTCTGTCGATTATTCACTGTATTTGGTATATTGTTGACGAACTCAAAATGCCACGTCTAAGTGAAGCCAACCGTCATATCGCCATTGGTTTGTTTGAAGCTGGCCAGTCTCAACGTGCAGTTGCCCGACGCATGAATGTTCACCAAAGCACCATTTCACGGCTCTGGGAGAGATATCGCCGGCAGAATGCGGTAGCAGATGCCCCTCGTAGTGGGCGACCTCGAGCGACCACTGCGGCGCAGGATCGCTACATCCGGGTACATCACCTGCGCCATCGAACAGCTACGGCGACCAGTACCGCTCGACAAATACCCGGATTGAGGAGGCTTTCTGCACAGACCGTCAGGAACAGGTTGAGAGAGGCTGGTTTACGTGCCAGAAGACCTTATTTTGGCTCTGTGTTTCGACAACAACATCGTCGACATCGAGTTGAATGGTGCACCAACGTTCAGGCCTGGAACCTACCGAACTGGTTCAGTGATGAATCACGATTTCTATTGGAACAGACGTCGACGTGAACGTTTCGCCGACGCTTGCGTTCCCCAGGTGGACAGATTCGGCCGGGAAAGTGTTATGATGTGGGGAGCGGTCACCTGCAGGAGGAGAAGTGATTTGGTGATTATCCAGGGCAACCTGACAGCTCAACGGTACTGTGACGAACTCCTACGCCAACACCTCCTTCCAATCATTGATCGCCAGAGGGAGTTGTTTCAACAGGACAATCCTATGCCCCACACAGCACGTCACACTAGAGACTTCCTCCAGAACCACAACATCAATGTGCTCCCCTGGCCCTCAAGATCACCGGACTTAAACCCGATCGAACATCTGTGGGATGCCCTGGACAGACGGGTGCGACGCCGTAACCCTCAGCCCCAGACACTTCAGCAACTCGCACAGGCACTACAGGCATAGTTGGCTGCGATTAGGCAAGACGAGATGCTGAGACTTATTCGTTCGATGCCGAGGCGATGCCGTGCAGTTCTGGATGCCCACGGTTGTCACACGAGGTATTGACTTCAGCGCCACCACACGTCTCCATGTGACACTCAAACTGACTTTCCTCGAGTTGGTGCCAAAGACGGATAAGTCTGCATTCCTAGTGTGCAATTTCGCTATATTTCATTTACTCATAAATCCTACAAGATGTTTCAAAATAAACATAAAATTACAGTTGAAATCCCTATATGCGTTTCCTTTTTTGGGGAGTATATATTTCATGTTAAATGCGTCATATGCAGAAACGTACATTACTAACAGATCATCAGATCGCATTTCTTACAGGAATACTATTACCTAACTTCAGTTCTGTTTGCTTGTTCGTTCTTGCGGATTGTTTTAAGTTATTTACATATCTGACCATTCGTCATATCTGATGGTTCACTTTAGTTCATATATGACGCTTTTCTCGTTACAAGTGAATCTGGCGAACCACCATTTGTAGTATAAAAAACCGTGAAGATCCGGGTCAGAATTGGTCTTCAGCAAACTATACCTGTCGTAATATTCGACAGACGGATTCGGGTGTTCAGACTCGCTGTCTTGGTTGACATAAGTCATCGTATCCAAATTGCGTAGATCGATGATCATGCTGTTGATCACTGGATTGTCTGCTCCATAGTCAATCATATCATACAGACTGCCTCCATATAGCTGGGGTACTGCTGAGTGTGGCACTAAACAGTGACATTAAAGAAATGTTTCGTTTTCGCTTACGCAATCTTAAACGTTCTTCCTCCTCATCATCATCACCATCATCATCGTCGTCGTCGTCGTCGATGTCGTCGCTGTCGTCATCATCATCATCTTCATCCTCGTCAAATTCTCCATCCTCCACTTTACAGCAGCATGGATTGAAGAGATACACTCTGGAACCAAATTTGACAGCAGCGTCTCCATCAGAGTCGATCTTCACGACACGACCTCGTCGACCGAGCACCTGCCGGATGAGTGAATAATACAACACATTAATTGATCTCAGTCGTAGCGACCTTCTGTACTAGTAAACTGTATGTTGTATTCCCTTCATATAATAGGTAACATTACGTCATCTCAAGGACCAATACTTACATCTAATTAATTCAATCAGTCCATAAGCCTACATACATGCCTGTAATATGATGATGGTGACATCTCGCAGATGACAAGATGGCGGTTTCAGTAACAACCACCTACCTGCCGTGGTCCGTGTGAATATGCTTAAGGTGTCTAGAACTGGCTTCAGATGTCACTCACTCACTCCCCCCCTCACCTAAACTCACTCATTCACTCATTCACCCACCCACCCACTCACTCACTCAAACGGCGTTTCCTTACCTTCTGCATGTCATCAAGCCATCCGCCATGATCCTCCTGGAGGTTCTTGACCGTCTCCTCGTCGTCAGTGATCCTCACAACGTTGCCGGGAGACAGTTTCGGGACCTGCGACCAGACATGTACATAGGTTTGCGTTTGCGTTTGCGTTTGCGTTTGCGTTTGCGTCAATAACTGATGGCTTAACTTAATCGCTGTTACAAATATCACACGTCTATAAATCATACGTGAATGTAGAGGGGAAACCTGCCACAGTGTTAGACGCCAGCTAATTAGCGTCCTGTCATAAACTGGAACATTGTATCTGTCTAATTAGGGTTAGTATTACATGTAAATTACTATAAATAAGATAATTGACATATCATACTGCAAGGTTGTGACCAGTAGCATAAGGTGAACTAGGTACCATCTGCAACCAGTGACACCGCAGTCTTTGACCTGGTCTGTCTTGCAGTCAAGGAACCTATTTACCCTTCCGCATAGCACTTTCTGCATGGACCCGTGAAGATCTGGGTTAGAACTGATCTTCAGTAACCCATGCTTATCGTAAGAGGCAACAACTAACAGAATCGGGTGGTCAGGCTTGCCGACTTGCTTGACACATGTCACCGTATCCCAACTGCGTAGATCGATGTCCATGCTGTTGATCACTGGATTGTCTGATCCAGACTCGATTATTTACAGACCGCCCCGCCGCCATATAGCTGGAATATTGCTGAGGGCGGCGTAAAACTAAACTCACTTTCTTCGTTGCTAAAGCCCTAAATGAAGCAAGTCTACATTTCCTCAGTTTCTGAATCTTCTTTCCTACTTGGTCTCTTTTTCAATTTAAAAGGAATTACTTGTTTTTATAAACATTATATGTATTCAGAGACAAGGCGTTAGTTTATGTTTGACGTACCTTTCTGAGAGCACTTGGCACAATTCTCCACTTCTGACTGTCAAACTCCACAGTGGCATCCCCCGCCTGGGAGAACCCCCGCACCGTACCCGTCTTGCCAATAAGCTGCAGATAAAAGAAATATAATATTCCATATCTGTAACAATACATGTATGGCAGAAATACTGGTTCGTGGCGTCAAGCACCTAACAAACACTATTTGTTCTCCTTAGTCATTCGTAACTACTCGCCTCTTTCCGTGACCTACAAGAAGAACGCCACCCGGCTTGCCGGAATGACACGAGTAGTTACGAATGCTCCTTAGTGTGCTCTACTGGAAGGGCAGGACATGTTCACACTTTCTGACAATGATTCCAGTGCTCCATTCATATAATGTCAACCGTTCGTTTGTATGGGATCCTAGAAGGGACATTGTCGCATTGTCGACCTCACAAAAATAAGCAAAAAGAGGCAATAGTAATCAAAGGGCGACAATGCGACAACGCGATCTTTTGACCTTGAAAATTGTCGCTATGTCGCATTGTCGCACTTTGGATGAATAAAATTTGTTTATTCAAAGCGCGACAATGCGACCTAACGACAATGCGACAATGGTCCTTCTAGGGTTCCATACGTTGCCTCTTACGCACAATGCAAACTGATAGTCAAGACGGGTGATTCTCTGGTTTTGATGTTTTCTGTTGTCTTGTTCCAGAACAAGTGCACCATATTACTCAATCTACGCTATTAGTAATTAATTATCTTACAGTGTATAATGCCACAAGTCTACTGATATAATTACAGAGATTATTACACTAGCAAGTGTGTCATATGACAACGAGTGTGACATTTTGTACTGCACGAGCGAGAGTGAGACCAATACATAATTTTTGCACGCGTTTCGTCTAAGTAGTTTCACACACTTGCTCGAGTGTATTATTTTCGTTATTATCCATTCTATTCATGTACATTTGTGCACTGAAATCCAAGCCTAAACCGAAAGTGATGGCAACAAGTATGCTTCAGGAAGAGCGGACGAACAATACAGTTGAGCCGAAGGTACAGAGTGGCGGAGGAAAGGCCAGATCAATACTTTGCCCATGTACATTTGTGCACTGAAATCCAAGCCTAAACCGAAAGTGATGGCAACAAGTATGCTTCAGGAAGAGCGGACGAACAATACTGTTGAGCCGAAGGTACAGAGTTGCGGAGGAAAGGCCAGATAATTACTTTGCCCATGTATATTTTGTAAGCTGGAGTATCATGGACTAGAGATGTGCAAGAAGTGGTCAAGTCTTAATCATGGAGATAAGCTTCACTTTCTAAGGAGAGCAGGACTCTGTTTCCGATGTCTACGCAAGGGGCACATTAGTAACCAGTGTGACAAGAAGATTGTTTGTGGAAAATGCGTCATATTACATTATGACGGACCCAGATATTGAGAACTTCATGGAAGACACGGTGAGAAGGGCTCCAATGTCTGCGTGTCACACACAGTGGACCATATGGGGGCTGGAGAAGGAGACTGCACTCTAGCTATAGTACCGGTGCTCGTCAAGATGAAGAACAGCAGTCAGGCTGTTCGCACATATGCATTCGTGGACCCAGGAAGCAGAGTATCAATTGTATCTGAGAATTTGAAGAACAAGCTTGGCTGTGAAGGGAAAAGAATGAAAATTGAGCTTCAGACTATGGGAAAGCCTTACAACATGGTAACATACTGTGTCAATGAGGTGAAGGGAGTGACTTGGGTGGAGACAATGTGGTACAGTTACCTAAGGCATTAAAAAAGATTTGGTCCCCCATAGTAAAAGTTCCGTTGGAACTTTTCATTCCAGTATTTGTTCCTGTAATAATGCATGCGGAACATTTATTTCGTTCCACATACACAGAATGTCCTCCGGGTATATAGAAACGTTCACACACATCCTATGGAACAACTCCTGTGGCTATCAACAAGCAATTATAATGTGTGAAAGTTCCTTAGAAAATAGAGTCAATACAGTAGTGTCATCAGTGGTATCATTTGTCTGTATTGTGGGCCTTGGTTTCATCTTTTCTTAATGCATACATGTGTTGATAAACTACTAAATGCTACTCTGTCTCTTTTTATCACGACACTTTCTTCTTGGTCTGCTATTTTCTATTTTCATTATGGAAATAGAGTCCTAAGAATCCGAACTGTTGATTCTAAATGAATCTTCTGTTAAAAAGAGTTCACTTTCGCTTACGTCTGTGGAATGTAGTTTATAAGATGTTTCAACAAAATTGTAGTTTCCATCCATCTGCTCACCTTCAATAGTTTCTGCAACATTAACCATGTCAATCTCTTCCTTTGACTAGCACAACTTCACCATTCAAATTCTTGTCATTTTGAAGACTACATGTTGCTGCTGGCTCATGATATTTCTTGATATTCATTTGTTTGTATGTGTTGATAAAACCACCTTCCATAGAGCTAACTTGATCCGTGTACTCTCGGGGTTTTCCTGATATCATGTAGGGTCCATTCCACTTCACTTTAATAAGTCCTCTTTGTGTCTTTCGCGATTTCACCATCACTTTATCACCTACTGTAAACTTTTGTGCTTTTTAATTTGATTTTCACCTATATCTAACATGATTCACGTGTATTTCGGGCTAGAGAAATCCCGGATGTTGAGAAGTTAAACGAGTCCAGTTTGCATTCAATAATGACTGGAATAGGTTAGGCCTACAGTATTTGTTCCTGTTCAATGGAATATTGCCGCATGTGCGGAATTTTTATTCTTGTCATCTGTTCTTTGTTTCACGGCCTTTATTCTGAAACGGAACATTTACTACTCGGAACGAAACCAGATTTACAGGTATGCTCTAAGGACAAGATGCCATCATCATCTCACAGCACCAAATACCAACACAGGCTGATGTTTCGCAGTGGCCACATCTTTCAGAGATAATGCTACCAGAGATCAACACACAGATCGGCTTGCTATTAGGCAACAATGTGCCTGAAGCATACTCACCGCTACAAGTGAAAACAGGACCGTCAGGCAGCCCACACGCAACATTTAAACGACTAGGATGGGTTGTTTGGAATCTGGTGAGAAATGAGATACATGATGGATCTATGATAACAGTGAACAGAGTTGAGATTAGAGCTTTAGAAGAGAATGAGAACTGAGAAATTTTGATCGGTTTGTAAGACATTCAGGAATGATTTTCCGGAACGTCTCGTGGATGACAAAGAGCAACCTTCATATGAAGCCAAGAAGTTCTTGACAAAAGTGGAAGAGAGTATAAGACTAGAAAATTAGCAGTACACTAATGCACTGCCATTCAGAAGAGAAACAACACAGCTGCCATGTAATCACAGCCAAGCATTCAAAAGACTGATGAATTTGAAACACAAGATGGGAAGAAATAGGAACTTTTTGAAGGACTACAGAGACTTCATGGACAAGATAGTAGCTAAGTGGTATGATGAGAGAGTACCGGACCATGAGTTAGAGAGAGATGATGGGAGAGTGTGGTTTATTCCTCATCACGGGGTCTATCACCCCCACAAGCCAAAGAAGATTCGCATCGTGTTTGACTGCACAGCCATGCACAAGGGAGTTTCAATGAATAGCCTATTGTTGCAGGGACCAGATCTGACAAACCGCCACATAGCAGTCTTATTACGCTTCAGACAGGAGCCAGTAGCAGTAATGGGAGACATTGAATCAATGTTTTACCAGGTACAGGTACCCAAAGAAGACCGGGACCTTCTCAGATTCCACTGGTGGGAGAAAGGAGACTTGAATACTGAACGCATAGTGTACCGTTTGTGTGTACACCTGTTTGGAGCTGTCTCTTCACCCAGCTGCGCAACTGCTGCTCTACGTCAGACCGTCAAGGATAACAGATCTACGTTTGCACCACATGTTACACCACAAATCCTTCTATGTGGATGACTGCTTGACATCAGTTGAGGATGAGGACAAGGCGATGGAACTCATTGCCTCATGTGAGTGCATTGTGTGCTAAGGGAGGATTCCACGTCACCAAGTGGGTGAGCAATAGCCCTACGGTTATTCATAGCATTTCTGTTAACGAGCGGGCTGGTAGCGTCAAGACTCTATATTCATTGAAGAATGAAGAATTACCAGTAGAGAGGGCATTGGGTGATCTCTGGCCAGTACAAAAGGACTGTTTCAAATTCGACATTCAAGTGAAAGCCAAGCCACCGACAAGACGAGGTATTCTGAGTATAGCTAGCTCAGTCTATGATCCCCTGGGCTACGCCTCGCCATATGTTCTAGTCGCGAAGATCCTACTGCAACGGTTATGTAAAGAAAACCTTGGATGGGATCAAGAAATCTCGTACAGTGACAAAAAAACATGGCAACAGTGGATAGATGGATTGAGCAAGTTGAGAAACATTGAGCTACCGAGATGCTTTAAGCCAGCAAACTTCGGACAAGTGATAGTCTGTCAGTTGCATATGTTCTCGGATGTTTACGAAGAGGGCTACGGAGTTGTAGCGTATATTCGACTTATTGATGACAACAGTCAGATCCACATTTCCTTCGTCATGGGAAAAATCAAGAGTAGTGCCGCTGAAAAAAGTGACAATACCCCGAATGGAACTTACAGCAGCGACACTAGCTGTTAAGTTGAGCAGAATGATTTCTGAAGAACTTGAGTATGAAATCACAGAAACATTCTTCTGGACGGACAGCATGACTGTGCTGCAATACATCTCGAACGACACATCGCGTTTATACTGTAGTAAACAACATGAAACTTCATCTCATCATCTGCTCCTTTGTTCCGAGCCTCGTATGTCAGTTCTCATTCTCATAATTCATGTTCCTCAAGATTCATAGTTTTCACTTCTCATATTCAAATTTCATGACATACATATTCAACTTCATTATTCTCATAACAAATCCTCTCCATAACAGACGAATGAAACGATTGACTGTAAACAAAACAAAAAGCAGTAATAAGTACCTACAGTTTTACACCTACAGAAAATTACAGTCAATAAAATGCAAACAAATGAAAAAATTGATGAAACATATTTACTTTAACAGCTGAGCAATTATATGGAAATTATATAGAAATTAACCTTAAACATTAGAAAGAATAACTAAATGAACCTACACCCTAACCTTTCTAAAATATATTTTAAATTTACTGAATGAAGAAAGTTAACAAGTGCATGAAAACTGAGGACCTTTATCAAACATTGCAATAAAACATGTAACATTTATATAATAGAAATATTATATTACCAATCTCAAACACTAAATTTCTTATCTCAAAAACAACATGTCTTCTGCAAAACCCACATGGCAATGAATGAGATTTGGTTCAGTGTCAATGTTGTGCATGCACATGATAGGGTGTCGCAGGGTGGAAGATCAAAGCAGTCAATTGGTAGCAGACGAGTTCAGCTCCATTAACCCGACATATGAACATTATCTACGTAGAACATAAAAAATAGACTGTGGCACGACTACACTCCCATAGTTATCTGATAAGCCCGAAAATATTTTCCTCCAGAGTCTGGGCCAGCCTGTTATCTTGATGATTAAATGAAACTATGACATTATCTTCATCACTGTGTTTTTCAGCAACATGTACGATTAACGCTTGTCAGAGGAGACACAAAGCATTTGATCTGGACAATCAGTTGTCCTTATTGTGGACGCTAGGTGGCTGAGTGGGTTAGATTTTGGTGCCTTATGCTGAGATTCTGGGTTTAAATCCCAGATAGATTTCAACCTCCCAAAGTTTTAGCACTAATACAAACACCTTTGTCTTTACGGTTGCCTCGAACTCACAGTTGTCTGGAAGTAAACATTCCGTCCCTATGTTCATATTAATCATTTACATTTGTGTGGAACCTCGGATTACTCGAAGCATTTACGCAGGTCCCTTCAACTTCGTCTTATCGCTGTTTGACCGTGACTGTATACATGTCGATGTTTGTTTGAGTGCAGTAATTGTTCTGTCAAATCACTGTAACAGCAGTACTTTACTATGAAAATCTTACAGTGTGTCTCATGTCTCCACAGCTGCATTTATAGAATTCTATTATATATAGACATATGCGGGAGCTGAAATATACTAGTACTAAGATATATACAAATACATAATCCTAGTAAAAGTATAGTCATCCGTTTACAAACTGCATTTTTACAACACATCTCCAGTGGTAAACTTTATCTTGAATGCATAGGCGTTTATATGATTATGGAAAACGTTGTGTCGCCTCTATTCGTGCGTTAACGATACTGAAGATGTTCACGTCATGTGCAGCGACCAGTACACTAGCTCCTTACACCGCCTGCCCATCACCTACCCTTGCCATACCTGCTGACCAGTACACAAGCTCCTTACACCGACTGCCCATCACCTACCCTTGCCATACCTGCCGATGACCAGTACACAAACTCCTTACACCGCCTGCCCATCACCTACCCTTGACATACCTGCTGACCAGTACACAACCTCCTTACACCGCCTGCCCATCACCTACCCTTGACATACCTGCTGACCAGTACACAAACTCCTTACACCGACTGCCCACCACCTACCCTTGCCATACCTGCCGACCAGTACACAAACTCCTTACACCGCCTGCCCATCACCTACCCTTGCCATACCTGCTGACCAATACACAAACTCCTTACACCGCCTGCCAATCACCTACCCTTGCCATACCTGCTGACCAGTACACAAACTCCTTACACCGCCTGCCCATCACCTACCCTTGCCATACCTGCTGACCAGTACACAAACTCCTTACACCGACTGCCCATCACCTACCCTTGCCATGCCCGCCGACCAGCTCCCTGCAGCTTCATGCACTTCCTTCAGCGCCTCCTCGTCCAGCTCAATACACACCTTGTCCCCTTCCTTGATGCCAGAGTCTGTGTTGCTGATGGCGCCGGTAAACGCCGCCGATGTGGCATCTGTTGAAAACATTGGGTAATATCTGACAAACAGATATCCTACTTTCTGTACATGTACGCTGTGCTCGAGGCAAATAATGAATTCCTGATCAATTGGATGACCTCGTTAACTTGGTCCCAATCAGAAGTCGTCTGAGTTAACAGATTTTCAGGGTTTGGGAATCCGTAACGACGTATTTATGTTGATGTTCGAACAGTATCTTCCGGACTGTTTGAGAGAAGTTGTAAGTAATAGGAATGACAAGTCGTTATGGATGACCAGCTTCAAGCATGAAAACGGTGTAAGCATTTATACCGAAACGTCGCTATTGTACATTTGAGAAGTTGATCAGCCATGAAGACTTGTCATTCCTAATGCCGTCCGGAATATTTTACTGGTACTTTAACAAAACTTGTCCAAAACCTGTCAACACAATCAGGTCCAAACGTTCGGATTAAATGACATGAACCAGAACGTGGAAATGTTGGCGATGGAGTTGACGCTAAACCTGTCCATGCATTAGACCAAACATGAGTGAGTGAGTCAGTTTGGTTTTACGCCGCTTTTAGCAACATTCCAGCAATATCCCGGCTGGGGACACCAGAAATTGGCTTCACACATTGTACCATGCATGGAATCGAACCCGGGTATTTGGCATGACGAGCGTACGCTTTAACCACTAGGCTACACCACCGCCCCTGTTAAACTGGGTATCCCCCAAACAGAAGTTAGATGACATCTGTCACAGCCGTGTGTGTTACAGCATCTCCCTTTCAGTCCAGGGGGTTCTTTCACATTTTTATAGTAGTATAAAAACAAGCGTCAGCACAAGCCTTGAAAATCCTAATCGGTGTTTGTAAAAATATGAGATCGTTGGGTGAAATGTCCTTTAACACATTCTTTAAAATATTCGATATGAAGATAAGTCCAATACTTCTATACGGCTGTGAAATATGGGGATTACAACAATATGACAGTATTGAAAGAGTTCATTTATATGCATGCAAAACGTTTCTTGGTGTAAAACCGAACACATGTAATAGGATGGTTTACGGAGAATTAGGTAGATTCCCCTTGTTTATATACTCTTCCATTAAAGCCATAAAGTATTGGGTAAGATTACTGCATATGCCATGCCATAGGTTTCCGAAAAAATGTTATGATATGATGAAATTGTATGACGAAAATGGGAAAAGAAATTGGGTGAGTTATATTAGGGAGTTGTTGTACAAAACTGGTTATGGTTATGTGTGGTGTGATCACAATGTTCAGTTGCATACCAATTTTATCATATCATTTACACAAAGAATGAAAGATATCTATTACCAGTCTTGGTCGGAATCACTACTTCTATCCACAAAATGTTTATACTATAATCAATGGAAATCGGACATACGTTTTGAAGACTATTTAGCAAACATCGGCGTAAAGAAGTTCTGTATAGCTCTCTCTCGTTTTCGTTGCTCTTCCCATGAATTATTTATTGAAACTGGCAGGTATACAGGTATACAAAGAGAAAACAGAATATGTCAGTTATGTAATATGAGTACTGTTGAGGATGAACTACATTTTCTTCTAATCTGTCCTGTTTATACGACTCTACGAACGAAATACTTAAAGCCATACTATTATAAGCATCCAAGTGTAAGAACATTAATTTCACTATTAACAGATACTACCACATCAATATTACAGAATCTGGCAATGTACATCTATTTCGCTATGATATTAAGAAAAAGTATTGTTGCAGAAAAGAATTTATATATGACTTCTATCTACTCATGTAAACTCTAAATGTACTACAGGTCTGTGGTCTTTTAAAGTACTGAAATAAAGATTGATATTCCAGTCCGGTACTATTCTTGGTTGAGTCACGCATCAATACAAGCATGGACACGTCTATTGCCTTACCCAGTAGTGGTAGATGTTTGGGGTAATAGTCAGGCCCCGGAGCCTCGTCTGTGTACTTCAGGTCCACCAGACCTTTGTGGCCCATGTTATAAGAGTTGGTATGTCCCTCCTCCCAGGCTACTTCCACAACACTGCGGGCAGAGAGAGTTGTTGGTGTGTTCAGTGACGTCACATGACCTTTACCTCCAGGTCCTCCTGTAGAGAACCATTTTTGGATTCACATCCACGTCAACATTGTAATGACATGCCTATGACGTTTACTGACCAGCTCTTATCAGGTGAAATCACTGAATATGAAATCAAACGAGCATCAAATGATTTAAAAGGGGTTAAAGCAGCAGGTCAGGATGGCATTCCGCCTGAAATCTCAAATGTATCACTAATAAATCCTTATCGTAAGCAACCTTTTAATAGAATCTTAGATACAAGTGTTTCCCCTGACACCTGGAACATAGGAACGTGACTGGCAAACTGTTTTCTGCTGTGATCGAAAAACGTATTAGAACATGGCAAAATGTAAATGATTTGTTATCAGAATCCCAAGCTGAATTTACACCTAATTATTCCCCATCAGACAATATATTTATCCTTCAAGCTTTGTGTACAAAATATTTAAGTAAACCGAAAGGTCGTTTTTACTGTGCCTTTACAGATTTTAAAAAGGCGTTTGACTGATATGCTACATTTATTGATTACTAAAGAATTAACTGGTAAATTGTCAAATGTTCTTCAGAGTATGTACTCATCAGTTAAGGCATGTATGAGGACAGATAAAGGAATCACTGATTGTTTCAAAACTTCATCTGGTGTAAGGCAGGGCGGTGTGCTCAGTCCTGTGCTATTTATATTTTTCATGCATGAACTTGTAAGTGAAATGTATAATGGATGTGATCATGGAGTTTTTGTTTCGCAAGATATCATTGATGTAATGCTATTACTATTTGCAGATGATTTTGCTTTATTATCATTTTCAGTTACTGGCCTCCAGAAACAGTTAAATGTTCTTGGTTAATATTGTGAGAAATGGGGCCTTCAAGTAAACTTGAAAATGACAAATATTATTGTTTTCATAAAAGGTGGTATTTTTAATAAATTTGAAAAATGGACGTACTGTATTAAGCATTGTTTCACACTAAAAATATTTAGGACTGATTGTATTCCCCAGATTATCATGGTCAGCAGCCTGCAAGCAGCCAGCTTGACAAGTATCTAAACCTTTGATCTCCGTATATAAGGTCTTATAAGTTTATATCTTTCCCAGTTGTTTTTAAAATGTTTGACAGAAAAATAGCACCAATTCTTCTCTATGGTTCCGAAAATGAGGAGTGAAATACAATGTTTTCATCGAAAAAATCCCGCTTTATATTTTAAACATTTCCGTTCAATGTTATAACATGTTAAAAAGATTGGATGATAATGGGAAAGATTCTTGGGTGTCTGATATAAGAAATATTCTTTTTATGTCTGGTTCTTCCCTTGTTTGGATATCTCAAGATGTTGGAAATGATAAGTTATTTACCTTTATCCTTAAGCAAAGATTAAATTACATATTTTCCCAAACCTAGCACTGTCAAATATCATCCTCAAGATGTCTGTGTCACTACTTGAGTGAATGGGTGGGTGGGTGGGTGGGTGGCTTGAGAGTGAGTGAGTGAGTGAGTGAGTGAGTGAGTGAGTGAGTGAGTGAGTGAGTGAGTGAGTGAGTGAGTGAGTGAGTGAGTGGTTTGAGTGAGTTTGAGTGAGTGAGTGAGTGAGTGGGTGGGTGGGTGGGTGGGTGGGTGGGTGAGTTTGGGTGAGTGAGTGAGTGACTGAGTGAGGGTTTATGCCACTTGTAGCAACTCTCCAGCAATGTCAGGGATGGATCGACTATGTTTCATACTGCGTACCCAGTTTAGCAATGGAACCGGACGTGAGCGGCTGTTTCACAACGTATAATACATCTCAAATATCCATGGAAACAGATTCCTTAGTTCCTAAACCTCAATACTGTAGTGTATGGGTGGAAAGCTGAGCTGAGCTTCAGCAAGGAAATCAGGGTAAACATGTTCTGGTCGTCAGGTCCTGCCGCCACTCACGGTGCAGTACACATGTTTTATATTTGGGTATTGTACGCTGTCTGTAATAACTGCTAAAGATTCAGTGAAGATTCATAGCATTGTGTTGTAACATTTACCTAATTGTCAGGAATGACAGTCTAACATTGATGTTAACATTATGTTAATTATCTAACATAAATGGTGTCATGAAAAATGTGAACTGTTCCAGACGTACCCGGCTTGTCATGGCATGGCATCTAAGGGGGAAGGGCAGGCCCGCGGCTGTGTGAAGATCAGTGCTTTCAAACTGGATATCGAACCTTGGCCAATTTTCGAAGCTTGACCAGCGTTTCTACCAGCTGCATAGAATTATCTCTGAGTGAGTGAGTAAGTTTAGTTTTACCCCGCACTCAACAATATTCAAGCTATATGGTGGTGGTTTGTGAATAATCGAGTGTGGAACAGACAATCCAGTAATAAACAGCATGAGCATCGATCTACTAGTAATTGCAATGGCGGTACAAGGTCTAAGGCGGTGTAAAAGGTATTAGCAGTGGAGATGTCATTAAAGACAGCCTCCTGAGAGGGTACGTAAGTCCCAAAATCTTTCAAAGTCAATTTCGCTCAACCATACTTTTTAATCGTAGTAGTTTTGTGATTTTACTTTCAGCTAAATCTTCCTTCCATCGCCAGCGGCTGAAGGGATGGTGTAAATCCAGCTAGGGTCCATGCAGGTAGCAAAGGTACTGTAAGTCCCCATGGGCCTTAGTATGGTGATCAACCTTCAGTTGCTGGTGATCTATAGCCCGTTCTTATATTGTACTGTTGTCTCTCGCGATATAGTTTTATGATAGCGTACTAGTTTTAAATTAAGAGCTGTGATATTTTAGTTGTTTTACTGTCCTTCGATGACAGGTTTTTACGTTTTTTCTACCGGGATCGGGTAGTCAGGCTCGCTGACTTGGTTGACACATGTCATCGTATCCCAACTGCCCTCAACTGTAATGCTAATAAGGATGCGACGTTATTAGTAATGGCGGACACAGAAGCAGTGGCAGTACGCGTGTACGTGAATGGCTTCGGGAGAGTGAGTGAGTGAGTGAGTTAGTGAGTGGAAGAGTTAGTGAGTGTTATTCAAATTCAGCAACATTCACCTATAATCACTATCCCCTGGATGTTGTAACTTTGATCAGTTGAGTGATACATGAGTTACCTCTGTTCTGTTGTGCACATATACTCTTAAAAAAGAAACGCATAATGTTGTTACCGTCTTGGTTGTCAAATCTCCAGTCCTTGCCCCGCACCACTGTTGCCCCGGGGAAGATGCCCATAGCCCGGGCCTTCATACACTGGTTTCGTTTGCCCACGGGTACTCTGTGGAATATCAAAAAGATCTGAAAAGAAGTCAACTGACCTCGATTGAACATACTGTCTGTATTTCCCATTATCAAGGGGGCATGTCTAAACCTAACGCCTCTCACCATGTAGAATACGTTCCTTGGTTGTATCAGGGTTCGAAATTCTTCCTGTGTGTGAAACATGGTTTGTCTGCCCCACCGCAATACTCGTCAACATCTTCTGTGTGGGTTCGTTCATGTTCAACTGGGGCATTATCCCGACATACAGCTAGACTGACTGACTGACTGACTGACTGAGTTTGGTTTTACGCCGCTTTTAGCAATATTCCAGCAACGTCACGGCGGGGAACACCAGAATGGGCTTCACACATTGTACCCTTGTGGGGATTCGAACCCGGGTCTTCGGCGTGACGAGCCAACGCTTTAACCACTAGGCTACCCCACCGCCCCACATACAGCTAGAGTATTGCTCAAGTCACTCAACATATCAAAGAGGAAGGTTTAAGGTTTTCTGATCTCCTTTCTTCATTATATTTTTGGTTAAGCGTTGGTCCTTTTTTAAATATTTAAAAGATATTTTTAATCACTAAAGGGTTAATAGTTATAATACTACGCTTATGTTAAAATACTTCACGTAACTGTGTTCTACTTACGCCTGTGCGCCGACAGAGTCAATACGCAGAAATGGATGTGTCAGGTCATGCTTGTCTGTGACGTAACACACGGAACAAAGGTCGATGTCATCACAAACTGAGCACTTCCAACGGATACCCACAATGCCATTCTCTGTGCAGGCGTCACAGATCTTCGTGTGACGGACACCTGCAATATAAGAGGCCTCGCCAGTGGTGGGATATGACGAAAAACACCCCCAAAGTTTCGCATAATACAATTTTTATGATGATATCTTGGACAATCAATCCGACAATGTGGTACAAATACCACAGCCACTGATTGCCTACATCCTGGTAAACGGAGGTGTTCAACATGTTCCTGAAAACTGATCCAGAAGTATTTTGTCGATGTTTTTATCAGTAGCCGCCCGGAAAGCGGCGTTTCCGGATTTATAGGGTTCCGCTGTACGTAACGGTGAGTGAGTAAAGTTTTACACCACCACCATATTCCAGCAATGTGAAGGCAGATGTATATGATAATGAAGATGCTCACCAACAGTGGCGTTGTCAAAAATACGCAAGTCATGTTTTCCGTTTAGTCCAATTCTACAGCTGACCTCAGTGCCATTATCCCAGACCACCTTAGCAGTACTGTTACTCCCATACTGCACCACGGTGCCCACGTGACCATCTCCTCCATCCTGCTCCCCGTGCTGCCAATCAGGACCTCGGATTACACGTATACCAGCTGCCATTGGTCTGTTATGAAATATAATCATCAAACAATGATCAATATAAACTAGTATACATTGTGTTTGACCAAAATTAAAAAACCTAAAAGCATATTTAAATGAATATCTGTATAATTTCAATAGAGTATTCAATAGACCGATCCAATCTGTCAATCAAAACTGGCGAATGCGTCAATTTTGGCCAGTCAGCAGGCCGGGCGCTCAGTGTGGATTTGTCAGACTTATTTCCGGGGTCAAACGATGCCTCCGAAGCGATGTGCTTTGAATTATGCCATTTACACTCGCTATAGCTATTACATATTGCTGTGATTTGATGCGTAACTTTACCAAAACCATTACGATCAAGACAAAAAAATTGAGGCGGATCAAGGAATGCGATAGGCCTAACGAGCAGTTAAATGTCGGCACCGTCGTACACGAAACCTACGTCTGCTCGAAGGTGAGATTTTACACGAATTTACACACTTTCGTGCATGTGCAAAAGCATTACCAATAGATGACAACAAATAGCAATTTAGGATTTTGCAAGTGTTATAAACTTCACGTTTTCAATCACTACTAGGCATTGAGTTGGTACACCATAAACCTGAAATGAGACAGGCGAGAAAGCCGGTGTGTGTGTGTGTGTGTGTGTGTGTGTGTGTGTGTGTGTGTGTGTGTGTGTGTGTGTGTGTGTGTGTGTGTGTGTGTGTGTGTGTGTGTGTGTGTGTGTGTGTGTGTGTGTGTGTGTGTGTGTGTGTGTGAATTTACATTGGTACATTTCAGGAGTAATAACACACTTCTGTCATTTTAATTATAATTCACTAGAAATGATAGCAAGGTATGTTTTAAGAATCTTAGAAAAATAGAAAAATAAATTGGAATGGATTATTAAAAAATGGATTTCCTTATATTCAGTGTCATTTTAAGATGGTGTACAGATTTTGAAGAGAGAAATTTTACTGAGAATAGCTGCAGATTAGCTGCTGAATATTTGCTTCTGGGTATGTCCAGACACGTCCATGGAAACATACTGTGTTAACAGGTCCAGTAACGTTTTCCAGATAATATATACAGACAAACAAGCTGGACGAAGTAGTAGACGGGATATTGTTTTCCTGCGTTGTTCCTTGAAAGGTAGAAACCCATGTTTTCACAAACTTCAAATTTAACTAAATTTGAACAAAGGATAAATATATAAAGGTGACACGCGCAGTTTTGACAATCTTTTTATAAATACCGAAACGATCTGCAACTTGCACATGTGGTTGTGTTCACGGTTTTTATCCGGATAGGAAGTTTTGAGAAAAAGCAACAAACAACATAATTCAGTTACCTTTCCCCTGCTAATATCTTACACGAACGTGAATTGCCGGATAGATTATTTGGTAGAAAATACGCTTCCCAGTCTCAGCAGCTGGCTGAGACGATTTTTCATCGGGCATGTAGATCTAACTACATTTTCACTCGCCAATTATACAACCTGTCAACTAAAATATATTGAAAATAAAATACGTATAACTTTCCTTTCTAAATACCATTCACAAACGATGGATACCAAAGTACAACAAGCAGAATTCATCAACAACATTCGCAATCACGTAAATTACGACTAAGACAAACTAAGACTGTTTGTCTTAGTCGTTGCATCAGTCTGATGACAGTTGCTCGGGTGCAACCGAATGTTCTGGCAATGACGGTATGATCAGCCCCCTGTTGGACCATTCCGATAGCTCTCTGTCCTTCGATTTGCCTCAAATGTGCCATACTTGATGTAAGATAGGATAATGGAGTGATGCATGATGGGACAATGGAGTGATGTATGATGGGACAATGGAGTGACGTATAATGGGACAATGGAGTGATTAGGATGGGACAATGGAGTGATGTATGATGGGACAATGGAGTGATGTATAATGGGACAATGGAGTGATGTATAACTCAACAATGGAGTGATGTATAATGGGACAATGGAGTGATGTATGATGGGACAATGGAGTGATGTATGATGGGACATTGGAGTGATGCATAATGGGACAATGGAGTGATATATAATGGAACAATGGAGTGATGTATGATGGAACAATGGAGTGATATATAATGGAACAATGGAGTGATGTATGATGGGACAATGGAGTGATGTATGATGGGACAATGGAGTGATGTATGATGGGACAATGGAGTGGTGTATAATGGGACAATGGAGTGATGTATGATGGGACAATGGAGTGATGTATAATGGGACAATGGAGTGATGTATAACTCAACAATGGAGTGATGTATAATGGGACAATGGAGTGATATATGATGGGACAATGGAGTGATGCATAATGGGACAATGGAGTGATGTATGCTGGGACAATGGAGTGATGTATTATGGGACAATGGAGTGATGTATAACTCAACAATGGAGTGATGTATAATGGGACAATAGAGTGATGTATGATGGGACAATGGAGTGATGTATGATGGGACATTGGAGTGATGCATAATGGGACAATGGAGTGATATATAATGGAACAATGGAGTGATGTATGATGGAACAATGGAGTGATATATAATGGAACAATGGAGTGATGTATGATGGGACAATGGAGTGATGTATGATGGGACAATGGAGTGATGTATGATGGGACAATGGAGTGGTGTATAATGGGACAATGGGGTGATGTATGATGGGACAATAGAGGGATGTATGATGGTACAATGGAGTGATGTATGATGGTACAATGGAGTGATGTATGATGGGACAATGGAGTGATGTATGATGGGACAATGGAGTGATGTATAATGGGACAATGGAGTGATGTATGATGGGACAATGGAGTGATGTATGATGGGACAATGGAGTGATGTATAATGGAACAATGGAGTGATGTATGATGGGACAATGGAGTGATGTATGATGGGACAATGGAGTGATGTATGATGGGACAATGGAGTGATGTATAATGGGACAATGGAGTGATGTATGATGGAACAATGGACTGATGTATAATGGGACAATGGAGTGATGTATAATGGGACAATGGAGAGATGCATAATGGGACAATGGAGTGATATATAATGGAACAATTTTTATAACTGCATGACATTTCTTTTTACTGATTAGCTATATCCCTCTGAGGCGGAACGAGATTACACAGATATTCGGGATCAATATTGTTTATGATGTTGTAATATTAACAAAATGTCTTGATGTGTCTAACTTTCTTAAAAGACTGTAGATCAATTTATTTATAACACATGTTACACCACGTCTAGCTCCACACAGCGTTCTCCAGGTATCAAGAAGAAGTTTACCGGGGAGTCAGTCTGTTGTATACAGTTTTCCCACACTATGCTTTACTCCCATGCACATCAGCAAGCACTCTAGTTTGAAATCTTTTCATGGGTGTAATTACGCATTGTGTGTGAATTTAGGACATGGTTTTATAACTTTCTTGTTTATCTCTCCGTAAAGCCAAAGGTGTTCCGCCCAAGCGCTTCAGCGTACATGATTGTGCACCTGACGGAACTGAAGACCATGTTTACTTCAGATTAAGAAGGCGATTCAGACTACATACTGTTATTGAGGTTAAATGTAAACAGTGTCTGGAAACGACATGATCAAGTTATTACACTGAGTGCCCATGCTGTAGTCATGTCTCTAGATCAAGTGAGTTACCTCCCGTGACGGAGTGTATGCTGTCTGACAATGACAGTTCACGTGTCTATGCTCCCTACAATGAATGGATATCTATCTCGGGATACGATCACATTCCCTTGCTTATAGTAGCAACGGTCGCTAGGCTAGAAAACATTCGCTCGTCACGTGAAGCTACTCAGGCATTAGGTCATTTAATTAAATAGGTACTTGAAACAAATAGTGGATAATAACGATTGTAAAGGGTATATAACTATATAACTTATAGGTCGTATGTCTAATGGTGTGCCCCCTGTCACCCACACTGCATACCTGCACTAAACCGGAACTGAAATCAATAGATATGCAAACTAGGCGACACATGCCGGTGTGCCTTGCCCGATCTTTGTCCTTGGAGAGCAGGTTGACTGTTTAACACATGTATATGACAAGTGTATAGCAGACAAGTGTATCTGACTGTTTTGAGACATACCTTCTTTGGTGTACTGCTTCCTACAGCCTGTCCTTGGCAATACCGGTTATTGACTACTGTGTGGCAGGTGCCCGTCAGTCCCAATGTACAATGCTATAATCGTCAAAGCATTGTGTGTATTAATGTCATAACGACCTTGTTGACCGTGCAGCTGTAAGGGACCATGTCCACAGGGGAGTCATGCGTGATTATATCCTACACTGTCACGGGGCTTCGGGAATACCACCCCCACCCCATCCCCTCCCCACACACAGGAGTTTAATGTGTAATCACAACACTGCTTCAATTGAAACATTACAACAGAGCTATAGCTTGTATTAGAATCAACTGTCATATTGTGCTGCGAGGTCAAAATATATCAATCTTATGTGATGTCCCAGCAATAATTATAGTGTGATAAAGATTACACCTGCTAATAATGTTGTGACCGTATGCTGTTTACTAGTTGCATCTGTAATACCTGGCTTTGTACACAACACGGTCGGGGTGTTCCGCGGGGTTCGTGAGTTCCCAGGAGCCTACAATGATAGATCAAGCGGTCACACTGTACAATCCCGGGGAGTGTGTAACAGATGACCCCTAGAGAGGACAATGACGGCGGACAACTTGGTTTGCTTCACGTATGACGTTAGCATTGCAAGGAGGGCTATGCGTTAATGAAAATAATGAGGTTGAAGGACTGTGAGACAGACTATACGCAGCCATTGGAAGAGTGTTTGAGGGGGCATGTACAGACACATTACCGACATACATGGTGCATATACCGGTCTATCAATCCTGACATTGTAACCATATACAGACACAGTACCGACATACATGGTGCATATACTGGCCTATCAATCCTGACATTGTAACCATATACAGACACAGTACCGACATACATGGTGCATATACTGGCCTATCAATCCTGACATTGTAACCATATACAGACACATTACCGACATACATGGTGCATATACTGACCTATCAATCCTGACATTGTAACCATATACAGACACATTACCGACATACATGGTGCATATACTGGCCTATCAATCCTGACATTGTAACCATATACAGACACATTACCGACATACATGGTGCATATACTGGCCTATCAATCCTGATACTGCTAGCATATACAGGTACCGATTTAGCGTGACAAGCGGACGCTTTAACCGCTTGGCTACCCGGCCGCCCCTAAGGTCTCCGAGATACAGCCGTAACACTATTGATTAACTAAAACAACACTCGTTCATTGATTCACCTATGCAGTCAGCTGAACGTGGCCTTGAAGCTGTCAACAATAGCACGAGTTCTCACGAGTACACAGTATGACAATGTCTTTTCTGTAATTCTGTGAGTTCTTTACAAAATATTAAAAATGATAATAATAATATCATAACATGACTACTGCATACACAATTGACACGAGGTACATGTCACCTATAGCAGACAGACAATATTTCCGATATTGAAAATTGATCACGAACAGTTCGTCGTCACAGGATTCTAACAATCAATATGAACTCAGTAATCACAAAACTTTAGAACAAGGATTCCGATAAGGATACACATCATGTAATTTAACAGGATTTTGTACTCACCTATGAAATAATATCTAAACGGATGAACATAGTGATCAGCGCTGAAGGCGACTATTATGGACTGCACAATGTTTGTGTTTCAACAGTCAACCGAACAGGTCCTTGAACAAGTTGCAACACGCCATGTCGAATCGCTGCAATCCTATTTTCGTATTTTCGCAACAACCAGTCCACGGAAATTGCTCTGGATCAGTGCCCCTTTAACAAGGAAGTCTAAGACAATATTCCGGGTCAAGGTACATAGACATCTCTGTATCGCACGACTCGAGGCAGTCTTGCAAGGTAGGTTTTTCAATGATCATATTCTCGGGCCACATGTGTTTTGTGATATGAATCAGTAATCCCGCATCTGACAGTGCTCTGCAATTGCTCCTTGCACCAACATGTATATGTACAAAATGAAAGGAGACTCTAATTCCTTTCATATACGTCATTTGTTATTCAACAGCATAGAACGAATGATATTTGTTTCACAATTTGAAAACTAATAATATGTGGATGACGTCATGGCTCTGTCTGTGCATCTAGAAAGACACAACAATGCCTCCTGTCTGTCGTGTTGGAACACGTCCACCTCGGCTCAGTCACAAAAGTTCTCGTCACAGCACAACTTCAGTTATGGCAAATACACGATTAGACTACAAGTTTCTTCCTACTTCTCGTGGTGGAAGAAACCTATGTGTAAATGCTTATATGTACATTGTGCACAAGAGGAAAAGGGAAGAATGGATCTCGTGGAGATGCATTCAGGAAGACTGCAGATCAAAAGTCTCAACAGTGAACGATATGATTTCGAAAATACCTATCGACCACAACCACGGACCTGTACAGAACGAAGGTAAATAAGGAAGTGGCTGGTACCACGAATATCACCACACACGGGTTTCAGAGCATCAATATTGAGCTTTTCAAGTGTATCTGCTTGCTGTTTAGTACAAGTATCCCATATATGACTGCAATAATTAAAAACCGGTAATGTCTACTGAACTGTTTGTACATTTGGAGCTTCTTAGACAATTCCCCATTGGTGCAACTTTTTATAGCACAGTCGTTAATGTGTTCATTCCATTAGCAATCATGTTGAAGTATAAGACCTAAATGTTTATGGCTTTGAACGGAATTAATGACATTACCATTCATGGTTAGATTCGACATTGGAGTTGGATGCAGTTTACGAGTAAAGCGTATTGACTCTGTCTTATTAGGGTTAAAAGATACTGACCATTTGTCTGCCCATTCGGCAATTCGCTGTAAATAAATCATCGTTCATTACAAAAGCATTTACTTCGGGATCATCAATCATCGCATATAGAGAAGTATCATCCGCGAAAAGGCGTATATTATATTTTAGACCTTCAACTATATCATTTATATAAACAATAAACAAGAGCGGCCCCAATATTGAACCCTGGGTACTCCAGCAATTCCAGCTTTCAAAATAAAATCATCTGTTATGTTATTTCATATAAAGACAGCTATCAACTTTATTTGTATGTACTATTTATCCTGTAGAGAATAGAAATTACTGCCCTAATGAATCCAAAAATGAATATTACATCTTACAGCGTGATCCTTGTTCAGTTATTTACCGGGGAACATTAACTGTGCCCTTGTGAAAACATTCACTGCCCATTGTCTGAAACAATTCGCTCTAAAAGACATACCCCTCCAAACCGACCAGTCTATTTTTACACCCATCCAAAGGTCGAAATTACGGGACCACACCCACACAGACACACACAATGTCTCACACAAAGGGACACACAATGCATCACGCATGCAATGACCTACTCAATGACACACACGATGGCTGCATGTGACTTAACGTGGCTTCAACTGTAATTATCTCATGCAGTGACTGTACGAAGCTGAATGTAAATTTACTTTGTAAACAGTTCACGGTTCCAGCTCAGTCTACACCGACTTGTGCCTAGTTCCATATGAGTGGGCTTATTGCTATCAATATTTCCAGTTTGTGTTACACATGCGTGGGTGATCAGGAACACCAGTTTCCGGGACACAAAAGTTTCCGGGACACCAGTTCCAGGGAAACCAGTTTCAGGGACACCAGTTTCCGGGTCACCAGTTTCAGGACACCAGTTCCAGGGACACCAGTTTCAGGGACACCAGCTTCAGGGACACCAGTTTCAGGGACACCAGAACCTTGGACACCAGTTTCAGGACACCAGTTCCAGGGACACCAGTTTCCGGGACACCAGTTTCAGGGACACCAGCTTCAGGGTCACCAGTTTCAGGGACACCAGTTCCTGGAACACCAGTTTCAGGACACCAGTTCCAGGGACACCAGTTTCAGGGACACCAGTTCCAGGGACACCAGTTTCTGGAACACCAGTTTCAGAGACACCAGTTTCAGGGACACCAGTTTCAGGGACACCAGTCCAGGGACACCAGTTTCAGGGACACCAGTTCCAGGGACACCAGTTCCAGGGACACCATTTTCAGGGACACCAGTTTCAGGACACCAGTTCCAGGGACACCAGTTTCAGGGACACCAGTTCCAGGGACACCAGTTTCAGGGACACCAGTTCCAGGGACACCAGTTCCAGGGACACCAGTTTCAGGGACACCAGTTTCAGGGACACCACTTCCAGGGACACCAGTTCCAGGGACACCAGTTTCAGGGACACCAGTTCCAGGGACACCAGTTTCAGGACACCAGTTCCAGGGACACCAGTTTCAGTTTCAGGGACACCAGTTTCAGGGACACCAGTTTCAGGGACACCAGTTCCAGGGACACCAGTTTCAGGGACACCAGTTCCAGGGACACCAGTTTCAGGGACACCAGTTTCAGGGACACCAGTTCAGGGACACCAGTTTCAGGGACACCAGTTCCAGGGACACCAGTTTCAGGACACCAGTTCCAGGGACACCAGTTTCAGGGACACCAGTTTCAGGGACACCAGTTCCAGGGACACCAGTTCCAGGGACACCAGTTTCAGGGACACCAGTTTCAGGGACACCAGTTTCTGGGAAACCAGTTTCAGGGACACCAGTTCCAGGGACACCAGTTTCAGGGACACCAGTTTCATGGACACCAGTTCCAGGGACACCAGTTTCAGGGACACCAGTTCCAGGGACACCAGTTTCAGGACACCAGTTCCAGGGACACCAGTTTCAGGGACACCAGTTTCAGGGACACCAGTTCCAGGGACACCAGTTTCAGGGACACCAGTTCCTGGGACACCAGTTTCAGGACACCAGTTCCAGGGACACCAGTTTCAAGGACACCAGTTTCAGGGACACCAGTTTCAGGGACACCAGTTCCAGGGACACCAGTTTCAGGACACCAGTTCCAGGGACACCATTTTCAGGGACAGCAGTTTCAGGGACAGCAGTTTCCGGGACACCAGTTTCCGGGAAACCAGTTTCTGGGACACCAGTTCCTGGAACACCAGTTCCAGGGATACCAGTTTCAGGGACACAAGTTTCAGGGACACCAGCTTCATGGACACCAGTTTCAGGGACACCAGCTCCATGGAAACCAGTTTCCGGGACACCAGTTTCAGGGACACCAGTTTCAGGGACACCAGCTTCAGGGACACCAGTTCCAGGGACACCAATTCCTGGGACACCAGTTTCAGAGACACCAGTTCCAGGGACACCAGTTTTAGGGACACCAGTTCCAGGGACACCAGTTTCAGGACACCAGTTCCAGGGACACCAGTTTCAGGGACACCAGCTTCAGGGACACCAGTTTCAGGGACACCAGTTCCTGGGACACCAGTTTCAGGACACCAGTTCCAGGGACACCAGTTTCTGGGACACCAGTTCCAGGGACACCAGTTTCAGGGACACCAGTTTCAGGGACACCAGTTCCAGGGACACCATTTTCAGGGACACCAGTTCCAGGGACACCAGTTTCAGGGATACCATTTTCAGGGACACCAGTTTCAGGGACACCAGTTCCAGAGATACCAGTTTCTGTGTACTGGGCAGAAAGCAGGTTCCTTGGCCGGCACATTCGGAAAAAACATCTTGTTCAGTGTAATTACTTCCGGAAATTGTGAGATGTTTTTAATATTGCAATGAGTGCAAAAATGGAAATAGAAACAATAACACCAGAGATTGAACAGTCGCCATTATCTGGCGAAACACAGGGTGTAAAAGACAATTATTGCCTTTGGCCTTGTCAGAACATGCTATTCTGACTATTAGATCTGTATGTGTCAGATTTTCCACACTGAATTGAGAATATATGATGAAGTATTAAACAACTTTGGCCAAATATGTTTGTTTTGAGGTTCACTGGATTCATATTGTCTGATTTGCACCGAATTCTGTGGAAAACATTCTCAAGAAAATATAAGAAGAAATTATTAATATTATTTAATTATCAGTGTGAGCTTGCTGTCTGAAAGATCTGATCATCCCTGTCATTATTTAATGCCTTGTCCTTCATTTGTTGTTAATTTATTGAATACTACATTTTAATATAAGAATTAAAATCTGGATTGCTTCAGATGTTGCTGATGAGGGAACACTATGTACAAGCTCATCCTTGGATGGGTGCTTCAGATGTTGCTGATCAGATGTTGCTGAAGGGAACACTATGTACAAGCTCATCCTTGGATGGGTGCTTCAGATGTTGCTGATGAGGGAACACTATGTACAAGCTCATCCTTGGATGGGTGCTTCAGATGTTGCTGATAAGGGAACACTATGTACAAGCTCATCCTTGGATGGGTGCTTCAGATGTTGCTGATGAGGGAACACTATGTACAAACTCATCCTTGGATGGGTGCTTCAGATGTTGCTGATGAGGGAACACTATGTACAAGCTCATCCTTGGATGGGTGCTTCAGATGTTGCTGATGAGGGAACACTATGTACAAGCTCATGATTGCTCAGATGTTGCTGATGAGGGAACACTATGTACAAGCTCATCCTTGGATGGGTGCTTCTTGCTGATGAGGGAACACTTTGTACAAGCTCATCCTTGGATGGGTGCTTCAGATGTTGCTGATGAGGGAACACTATGTACAAACCCATCCTTGGATGGGTGCTTCAGATGCATGTTCAGCCTGAGAAGACAGCTTGGACAGTTGGGAACACTAGGAAGTGAGTTTAGGCTTGGTGTTAATTCTCAGGGGGGTGTTTATCCTCAGATGGGTGTTTAGGCTGCGGGGGATGTTCATCTCAGGTGTTCAGGGTCTGACGAGGTGGTCATCCTCAGATGGTTGTTCAGATATTTACGTCTTCTCTTTGTTGTATTTAGTTTAGAGAATTGAAAACTGATTCTAAATTACTGCCCTCTATTGCTGCTAGACTGTGAACTGCCAATGATACTAG